GTGTGTACCTGTATTCGACTCAGGATCTGGAATAGAAGAAAACACTTGGGCATGGAGTTTGGTCAAGGCATGAGAGAGAGCAGTTACATAATCTACCATAGCATCTGACTGAATCTGAAGCTGTTGGGGGAAATAACAATAGGTTGTTATTTCCCCCAACAGCTTCAGATTCAGTCAGATGCTGTACCGAACAAGATCTCATAGGGTGATAAGCTGTATTTTCCCCTAGGGGTGTATCTCACACTGAATAATGCTAATGGGAGACTCTCGGGCCAGGGTATGATAGTTTCTTGGGACATTTTGAGCATTCTGGCCTTCAATGTTTCTACCTTACCACTACTCTGTGGGTGATATGGCGTGTGGAAGGCAAGGGTCACCCCCAGTGCTGCCCAGACTTCCCGTGTTAATGAGGCGGTAAAGGAGGTTCCTTGGTCACTTTCAATCACTTCTGGAACACCATACCGGCAGACAATTTCCGTCAGAAGATGCTTGGCTGTGGTTTGTGCGGTAAGATTGGCAACTGAAAATATGTCCACAATGACTAATGCATATTCATAGCGTCCACTCTTTGGCATCTGGATGTGGTCAATTTGTATCCTCTGGAAAGGGTATTGTGGTTTGGCCAGGTGGTTGGGTGCAGCTTTAACAATCTTCCCGGGGTTACATTTAGCACAAATTGCATAAGATCTACAATAGTTCTGTGTTAGAGTAGTAATACCTGGTGCTTCGAAGTATTTATCAATCAGGGAGTTAATCAAATGTTTTGACAGATGGGCTGGCCCATGAGCCCATTGGACAACAGCTGGATACATATTTTTAGGTAGGCAAAACTTAAGATTGATGGTGTAAACATCATCACGGAGAACAGCTCCTTTGTTCTTCCAACTTTGTTTCTCCTGGGGAGTGGCAGCTGCCTGTTGCTCCTTTAGAAGTCTGAGATCTGTAGGTAATGTCTGCATAGTGTAGATAGGTACTGTGTCAGTGGCCACTCTTCTGTCCACTTCCCACCCTTGTCATGCTGCTTCTTTGGCGGCTTGATCAGCCAAGTGGTTGCCTCGTGCTTCCTCTGAATGTAGCCTTCCATGGGCTTTTACTTTTAACACTGCCACTTCTGCAGGAAGCACCAAAGCATCCATCAGTTCTTCAATTGCTGCCCCATGTTTCACCGGAGTACCAGTGGCTGTGAGAAATCTTCTAGTCTTCCAAATCAGGCCAAAGTTGTGTGCCACTCCCAGGGCATATCTTGAGTCTGTATAAATATTGACACGTAGGCCTTCGGACAGCTTGCAGGCCACTGTGAGGGCTGTTAGCTCGGCATCTTGAGCTGACTTAATTGGCTGGAGTGCGGCTGCCTGTAATATCTGGCTTTCTGTAGTAACTGCATACCCACTGTGATACTGCCCTTGTTCATCAGCAAATCTGGAGCCATCCACAAACAGTGTCTGGTCTGGGTTGAGTAGAGCAGCTTCGTGCACAGTTGGCAAGTGGGTAGTTTCCATCTTCATCTGTTCAAAGCAATCATGAGGAGTTTCTGAGTCATGTTCCATGGCAGGTAGGTCTTCACAAATTTCTGTGTGATATCTAGGATATCCGGCTGTACTGCAGTTGATAACTTTTTGGTTACTCCCATAGAGTTCAGTTGTTCCTGGGCTATTGTGCTCCAGGACTTGGCCATTGGCTGTCATGAGACTTGGTGAGGGATATGTGTGGGACAGCGGTCTCCCAATGACGGTAGAGGTGAGATGCATCCTCTGGGAGGTGTACCAGCAGGACCATGTTACCTGTGGAGTCCCATAGCAAGTCTGTCAATGTGATGTGAATTTCCACAAGTTGGAATAGTTCTTCTTCATAATCCACATCAGGGCCTGGGCTGCCTATAAACCACAGGGTACAGTGCAACAAGTTCTCTGGTTGCACATCATGTGGAGATGTAAGAGTAGGTAGTTGAAATTCCACCCGGGCATCTGGATTGACGTCCAGGCTGTACCAGTACTGTGCTACTCCCCCCTTTGGGAAGTGGCAGAAGAGTGGCCGGGTTCAGCGAATAGCAGCGTTGAAGGGAAACGTTGTCAGGTAACAATAAAGAGGTTTGCAACCGTAGATGGCGTTGAGAAGAGAGATGTTTAGGCTGAACCTGTTGAAGGATTGCAGAAATATCGTGAGGTGCCAAGATGGTGAGAGTGTGACTGAGAACAAAGTCATTAGTTTTATCCAGTAAGGCACTGGCAGCAAACACTGCCCTTAGGCAAGAGGGACTACCTCTGGCAACGGGGTCAAGCATGCAGGAGAAGTAACCGATGGGCCTCTGTCTGGAGCCATGTTTTTGAGTTAGGACACCGGAAGCGTGGCCCAATTTTTCAGAAACAAACAACTTGAAAGGTAGGTGATAGTTCGGCAGGCCCAAGGCTGGTGAAGAAGCAATGGATTTCTTCAGAGCAGTGAAACAGGCTTGTGGTGAAAAGAAAAAGGGCTCACTCTTCAGGGCTTCGTAGAGTGGTTGCATTAGCTTGGAAGCTTCTGGAATCCAGGACCTGCAATACGTGATGAGGCCTAAGAAGGCATGGAGAGACTGATGAGCTGCAGGTAATGGTAGATTCAAGATGGCCAAAATCCTTTGTTTGGTGAGGTGACGGGTGCCATGGGAAAGACAGTGTCCCAAGAAGACCACAGAGGGCCGGCACCACTGGAGTTTTGATTTGGAGACTTTGCAACCTTCTTCAGCAAGGAAGCAGATGAGTAAGACAACATCTGAATTAGCCTTTTGCCAGGGTTCCAGAACCACTGACATGGCGCGGGCAAACTGAGTGGGGGAATTTTGAGGGCATGAGGGACCCTTGATTCGCCTGTGGGAGCTGCGAGATGTAATAGTATGGGGAGGGAACAAAGTACTGAAGTATCTTTCCGTGACAGGGGTGTATCTAACTGAACTTGGCCATCTGCAGTAAAGGTTATGGAAGCTTGCAGCTGAGACAGGACATCAGCACCCAAAAGGTTAATGGGGCACGTGGAGGAAACCACAAACCTTGAGAGGATATCTGATCCCACATGGAGGAGTTTTGTAAGTGGGCAATTACGGGGGGTACCGTCAACTCCAACACAGGAGACATCGGTATCTGACAGGAAGGATGGGTCAGGCAGGTCTTGTTCTCTAAGAACGCTACGGGCTGCACCTGTGTCAACTAGGAATGTAGTGGGATGACCCTCTACGGGTAGAACTACAGTGGCTAGTGGCCCACCCCCATCCCCTGTAGACACTGCCATGGCAGGGGCATTAAGCATCAGAGGGTTTGCTGTCCTCTGTATGGGCTGTGTTACTTACTCTAACCCCTTTCTATGTCATTAACCATAGCTTTTTGCAGTCTGAACATGTCTATCATTATAAATAATGTGTAATAGTAAGTGAAGTAAAGTTCCTGTATGTCTTTGGATAAAACATTAACTATCGAGGTACTATCATTTATATGAATTAGACCATAACAATTATACCACCCTGTAACTAAAATGAATAACCAGTAGTGTCTGGGTTAATAAAACATGTCACAAATCCTTTTAATGCTAAACCATCATTTAACGCAAAGGAGGTTACTGTAAACATACGATCTGTAACTAGCAAGATTCGATTAAGTAAACATACAATGTTTAAAATAACTTGCATTATTTGGCTATTTCCCTTGTTGCAAGACACAGGCATTAATGAATATTCATCTGGATAATCAGCTGTTATGCTCTTATATTCGTGTCCAACAGATCTCATTTGTAGGTCGCACCACAGTTGCAAATGACATTTTAGCAAAAAATTTTTTTTTTTATATTATCACGGACACATTTCTGATACAGGGAAACAAATGCCATGACTGTTTTTTAGTAATTATAATGTTTCTGTTCATAAAATGTAGAGTGTAAGGAAAATAACATGTCTCTAAATAGGATGAGCTTAATAGGGGTAGGCCTCATGATGGAGGCAGCCATGACAGGGGCGGGGAAGGAAATGATGGCAGGGGAGGTAGTGAGGGAAGTGACGTCCATGATATGTGTGAAAGGAAGAGACAGGAGGTGTGGGCATGGTAAGGGCGGAAGTGACGTTACATTAGAAGCAAACGTAGCTGTAGATAGGTCACAGGACTGGCAGGGCCAACCTCCTTCTGTACTAGGCGCCATCTTTAGGGAGGTGGCCGACGTACTTTCAACAATACACTATATTATAACTAAAAAAATAAGTCAGTTTTGAGATGAAATACCAAACTATAAATAAACCTGGTAGGTTAAATAAGACAGTTGAGAACATTATGCATTTAACAGCCCATAAAGCTGTCCATAGAAACATGTACTTTAAAATAACATGATGCAAAATAAACTCACAGAATTCAACCAATTTTCCTTATTATCCAACAACCATTAATCACCTTCCTCTTAATATACTAACCTAGCTATTCTGCATATCCCCTCTATCCACATTGCTTAGTATTGCAACAAATCACACTTGCCTTTTACACTTAACACGTCCAAATGTTCCTCTATTATTGTAATAGGCTACACCTTCCAAAATTCCGTATTCAACACGGAATGCATTCTTATGAGCTAGTCTCCCCCATAATCCTCACTACCTTATCACAAAACACAATATATATATATATATATATATATATATATATATCTATATATATAGATATATATATATATATATACACACAAGCACTGCGGAATCTGTTGGCGCCATGCAAATGGCAATAATAGTAATTATTACACAATTATAACACCGGAACCTTCCTAACAACGTCTATATATATAACAATGTACACAATATTACACAATTAGAATATTTTCCAGCAAAAATCCCGTCTCTAACTCTTATCAGTAGCTCCGAAATGCAGGCATGTCACTCCTCCCCCCTAGGCAGGGGAGGGGGGGAGAAAGTGAGACAGAGTGCAAAAAGGGGAGAGAGAGAAAAACGAGAGAAACTGCAGGCATAAAGGTTAACCATGTGAGCGCCGTAAAGTAACAAGACAGAAGGACAGAGACTTATATGTTTGTAAATTGATTATTTTTGTGTATCTGCCCCTGTCCAAATTAGTTATGGTGCATTCATGCTTTCCAAAGTAAATCACACCAGACACGTTTCCCGGTTGATGAAATACTCTGGAATGTTTATTCGGGGGGACGACATGTCCCTTATAAAGCACAATTACATCATAAGCACTGTCAGAGATAACACGAAATAACACATCAATAATTGGTTAAGTGTTTTATTCAAAGCATATCCTACTGGGTGTGCCATCTTATGTCATTACTGTCGTCATGAAGTTTTCCCCTGGATTCCAGCGCCATCTTGAAAATGAGAGTGTTTGGTCGATGGGTGGGGTACTCCTGAGTGGCATCTAGTGGTCAGTTTAGTAATTTGTTGAATAATACTGAGTATAACTAAATGGAGTAAATAGGCATTTTACTAGCTAAAAAAATGTCAATATCTCATTTCCACAACAATATATATATATATATATATATATATATATATATTTTATTTGTTTTTTTCTATATTTCCAGCAGCAGTGAGACTGTCTGACAGCACAGGCAGTCCCCCTGCAGGCAGCACTATGGACGCCTATTGCAGCCATGTGACCGCTCTGTTAGCAAAGTGGATCACCGGTGTGGGGACGGTGGTGATCAGGTACGTGGCGTGGACAGCAGGGACGTTCTATGCCGCCCGCCAGCGTTTAGACTCTGCTCCTTAAGGACGTCATAGAATGCCCGCCATCCATAAGGGGTTAATTATCCTATTTCACAACAGTTTCTCATTCATCTAATTAAAACACTGGTACCACAATTTACCACAGTTGACAAGTAAAATAACATTAAGTTACAGCTTTGTTGAAGGGTTGTTTGTCATTGTTTTTTTTTTGTTTTGTTTTTTATGTATCTTAGTGCTTGTATGTAAGGTTGTTACGCTGATTTCTTCATCAGGTTTTTTTGTAATATATTATTATTTCTTCTTACTCAGTAATCATGTTGAAGATCAAGACGTGAGAATGATAAACGACAATAAAATTGTTGTTAATTTCAAGAAGAAACAATCTACTGATCAAGGTTTGGCATTTTTGTGTTTATGCTATTACCCCTTCAGATGTAATTTCTACATGTTTGTTTAATACAGTTGATGCATGCATACAAGAATGGTTTGTTTAGAATATCTATTCTCAAACCATTCCTGACATTATGCCATCCTACAAAAGGAGACCTTTAACACCATAAGGGCAGCATAGCACACCTTAACGACGATCTGGCCCTCCCTCTGACATTAATAATTGCCCTCCACGACGATCGTAATTGGTGAACCTGCATGACACCTAAGGAAGTCTACTTTCAGCCAGTCTAAGTTGTATGTGATCTAAGTTGTATGTGATCGAGGTGATAACGCAATCACATTTCTTGGATCGGTTTGATTGGCAGTATTGGCTGTAGTGGGACTGCTTGGGTTGTCAGCTAGATTCCCTAATATATAATTAATAAAATAATCTAATTATATATAAATAACATATATGCATTTACTTAGAATACATTTAATTATATATATTAATATCAAAATGCTCTTGGAAGATATATATATATGTATATGTGTGTGTGTGTGTATATATATATATCATATATATATATACACATGTATGTTAATGCAGTGTTAAACACAGATACACACACACCAGGCAAGCCAAAAGACTTGCTTTTACCACAGATATCTCACGTTAACATTGCTCTCACTACTGCAAGGGATTCTGGGTAGGCAAATTAGCTCAATAAAGAACCACATTTTTGCCTCATAATTCCACTTTATACATGTATTCCTTGGAGTATGTGTCTGCTGCACACAACAGCTTTAAAACTCAACTCAGGAAGAGGTGCAATGCCAGTGAACCACTCATGGACAGCTGTTTTGTTGTTATTTGAACTCCTCAGCATGAGATAGGTTACTAGCTTGCTATGGAGGCTTGGAAACTTAGCTTTTATTGCTCACATGTGAAAAATCGAAGTTTGTCTGCCTCATCAGAATATATATATTATTTTACATTTTTATATATATATATATATATATATATATATATATTTTTATATATTACATATATTGGATTTTATTTAAAGACCAGAGTGCAGTCACCTTTATGGATTTATATATATCCATAAAGGTGACTGCAGCCACCTTTATGAATCCATAAAGGTGGCTGCACTTTGGTCTTTAAATAAAACCCAATGCTTTATTAAGAAAAAAGTTAGATGATCAGGATCAACGTTATAGTCCACCTATTTTCTTCAGGATCAAAATAAACGAAATATTTTATTTTATAGGTGGACTGAAATGTGGATCACGATCTTCAAACTTTTTTCTTAATAAAGCATTAGATTTTATGTAACTCCTTAAGGACCACGAATATATATATATATATATTAGGATTAGTGCATCAGTGCTGTCTTTCAGTCCTGCCTTTTCCAACCAATGGTAGGATTTTGTCATGT